TGGGAAATTAAGACATGGGCCTGAGCTTATGGGAGCAAAGCATTTCTGCAAGGCTTTATGCCTACAGACAGGTGGGGCAGAGTTAGAGCTTTTAGCAACAGGAAACCCTGGGGGCACAATCCAACTTGGTTTCTCAGGGCCCGAGCTTTGTCCTGGGGTGTCTTGTGAAGCACTGTGCATGCTTGTCATGATGGTGCAGTGGAGCAGCAAGAGCTCCCACTCAGGTCTGCCTCTCTACTGCTCAGTTTGGGCTGACTTGACTGCTTTTGAGTGTTAAGGAAGTACACATTCTGAGGACAGTGGGACTGAACTGACCTGGGTCTGCTGAAGCACATCATTCTTCCCTTGGAGTTTATAGGGCCACCTCCTTCTGGTGAGTTAGGGATTTGCTTCCTGCCACGTGCATTCCTACCATGTGACCCATGTGTTAGGCCTTGCTTGTTTCTCACTTATACATTGTAAGCCCAAGGGGGTAGGGATCCCATATGTCTAGAGCCAGCCTTAGTGAGCAGTAGGTACTTGTTAAGTCCTTAATAAGAAATGGGTGGGTGGCTCTGACACCTTTTGTGTGAGACCAACACAATTTCTAAGTTGGCTGCCGAGCTCCCAGTGACTCAGCCCTGCACTCTGCGACAGCCACCTTTACCTTTTTGTGCTTCATGTTCTGAGGTGAGTTCCTGCACTAGGGACTTCATCTAGTCTAGTTGCTTGTCCAGCAAATAACCCTCAACCCTAGTCCTACCTCTGGTGACTGATTCCTAAGGTTTAGTTAGGTCAGGTGCTTTCATTTACCCATTGACCTGCTGTTGCCTTCTGCATAGACTGCCATCTATACTGGTTTTCAGATTTATCCAATATCCTTTAGGGAGTATTGTGAAGAGTGAAGACTATGCTCTCCCTGCTTATGAGGATCGGCGTGACTACCCGTTGCCTGATGTGGCCCATGTCAAGCTGCTGTCTGCCAGCCAGAAGGCCCTGAAGGAGAAGGAGAAGGCTGACTGGAGCAGCCTGTCCAGGGATGAGAAAGTTCAGTGTAGGTATCAGAAGGTGTGCATGAAAACTCAGTAGTGTGTGGAAGTGTGTGTGACCGCTTGTGCTAGGCAGATTTCCCTGCTGGGCTTCTGGGTGTCCCTATTTGATGCTGCTGGCTTATCCCTTACTGAAGGGCAGGGTGTGGAGATTGCAGCTTCTTGGTACGCATGTTGGGCCAGGCTTTGCCAAAAGAGCAGCTAAATACTCATGTGGTATGGAAGAACCAAACTGACATCACATCTAGAGGTCTTTGCTTACAATCAGCTCTGCATTTTCTCCCTCCATACGTGCTGCTGTGTGAGAGCAGATCTGTGCACGCTTGTGTTCTGAGCTAGCCCATGCTGTCTGTGGAATGGGTTGCTTCAGGAAGGGGGCTGAGTCCTCAGCACATTTTTTTTACTCTGCATATGTTTCTATTCAGTGTACCGCATCCAGTTTAATGAGAGCTTTGCTGAGATGAACAGGAGCACCAATGAGTGGAAGACAGTTGTGGGCATGGCCATGTTCTTCCTTGGCTTCACTGCCCTCGTTTTGATTTGGGAGAAGAGCTATGGTAAGTGGAGAGGGAGGTGTGGCCCAGGACAGCTGTAGCCCTTGGTGCTGTGAGGGTCTCACATGACCTCCAAGCCCAGCGTGGATAGTCATGGGCACAGTTCTGAGCTAGAGTGTGCCTTTTGCACGGCCAGCCATCTTTGTGGCAGAGCGAGGAGGTTTGCTTTGTACAGCATAACCATGTTCAGCAGTGCTGGGTCTGCATACTAAGTTAATGTCCACAGAGGACTGCACAGTCTGAGCTAGGAGGGCCCACTTACTTCATGCCTGCTGTTCCTGAGCATCTGGGGTCTCAGGTGTTGGACCTTTTCCAGACTGTTTGGCCACTATTGGATTTGCCTGCTCTCCAACAGGCATTCTCTCTGGGTTGGGTTGGGTTGCTTTCTGAGCAGGCCCATGCCTAGTGAGTGTCCTGCAGATTAAGTAACAGATACTCGCTCTGAGTGGCATCCCTGGCTGTGTGTGGGACTGTCCAGAGCCTGCCACCGACAGCTTACTACTTTATGACTTCCTTGCAGACCTTTCACAAGCAGGGAATGGCTGATAGGAATCATCACTGCCCTGATTGAAGCCTGTGTGTGAGGGGGTTGAGTGGCAGGTTTCCTCATGTGTGGGGAGAGCCTGAGCCCTGAAGGCTTGGGCTGTGTCTTCCCAGCAGGACAGCCTGCCTCACATAGTCGTTTTGTGCCACAGTGTACGGCCCCATCCCTCATACCTTTGATCGTGAGTGGGTGGCCATGCAGACCAAACGGATGCTGGACATGAAGGCCAACCCCATTGAGGGCTTCTCCGCCAAGTGGGACTACGACAAGAACGAGTGGAAGAAATGAGACCCCTGCTCGCCAGCTTCCTCCCTCCCTCGGCATGCTGGAGGCTGCTGTGTCCAACGGTCCATGCTAATAAATGACCAGTTTACGTGACACCTGTGTGCTTCATTCGGTGACAGTCACTAAATGAAAGTATCTGTCAGTTGAGACCTAGTTTCTCATAGTGGAGATAAATTTGTTTGTTTATTTATTTTTTAAATTTGAGACAGTTTCTCAGTGTAACCCTGGCTGTCCTGTACTCACTTTGTAGACCAGGCTGGCCTTGAACTCACAGAGATCTGTGTATTTCATCCCCCCAAAGCGCTGGGATTACAGGGGTGTGACACCACGCCCAGCTTGGTTTTTAAATTTTTTTTGCTATTTGCATCATTTCTGTGTATGATGTGCCAAGGCTCATGTGTGCAGGGCAGAGAACAACTTTGGAGTTGGTCTTCTCTCTCGATTTTGATGATTTTCTGGGAATCAAGTTCGAGTCATCAGGCTTGTGTGGCAAGTGTTTCTACCCACTGTAATGGGTAAATAATTTTGAGTAAGGGTCTTGAATTTTAAGTTGTTGAGGGAGAATATGTAAAAACTGAACCTGCCACATGGTGGTGGTGCACACCTTTTAATCCCAGCACTTGGGAGGCAGAGGCAGGTGGATCTCTTGAGTTTCTGGATAGCCAGGCCTACACAGAGAAACCCTGTCTTGAAAAACCAAAAATAAAAAAGAAAAATCTGGTTGACATGAATGCTTGGCCAACCAGTGCTACGCAGACCCTGACAAAATGAAACTGTGGAAATAGAACTGGGCTGTGGCCTGTTAGAGTGACGGCTGCCCAGCATGCTGGAGGCCTGGTGCTCTGATCTCTGCTATAACTGGCAGCAGAGCTGGAGCCTGGGGAGCGGTGGCCTGGCCCCTGGCAAGCACAGGGGGGCCACATCCTGCTGCCTTGTCTCATGTAAGCACCAGAGACTTCAGAGTGGAAGAGATCCTTGAATGGCCTGTAGATCGGGGTCAGGTGGCATCCCTGGGGCCTCCTGCCTTGATTGGTGGCAGGAACAGGCATTGCCAAGAGGTGGGCCTAGAGAAGCCTAGACATGATAAAAAGGATATTGGTCCAGGAAGTCTGCACAGAGGGACCTGGGCTTTCTGGACGGTGTGTAGTAAGCCGACCCGGAGTCTTGGTCCCAGCTGTAGTTTCTCCGTACTGCTTTAGAGAACGTGCTTATTTTTATTTGGCTTATTAAGATTTTTTTAATTTCAACATCATTTCAATTTGGGTTTTCTTCAGCAAGTCTAGCCTTTGTTGAATTGTGTTTTCTTATCTTGGGTTGATATCCTTATTTGTTTTTTGTTTTCTGGGGGCATATTCATGTCTTTAGTTGTTTAGACATACATATAGTCATTCTTTTAAAGGTTTTGGTAGTTCTTTCAGATTTTTTGTTTTTTTGAGACAAGGTTTCTCTGTGCCCTGGCTCTCATGGAACTACCTCTGTAAACCAGGCTGGCTTCGAACTCACAGAAATTATCCTGCCTCTACCTCCTGAGTGCTGGGATTAAAGGTGTGTACCACCACCACACAGCTTCCAGGCTGTTTTCATTAGGAGCCTTACTGTAGGATTAGTAGTTTGTGGAAGACACAGGTCTTGGTTTTTCACTGAAACTTGTGTACTTTATGCTAGTTTTTTGGCTGCATTTATTTATTTATTTATTTATTTATTTATTTATTTATTTATTTATTATTTTTTAGAGATTTAGATTTATTTATCATGTATACAGTGTTCTGCCTGCATGCCAGAAGAGGGCACCAGATCTCATTAGAGATGCTTAGAAGCCACTATGTGGTTGCTGGGAATTGAACTCAGGACCTCTGAAAGACTAGCCAGTGCTCTTAACATCAGAGCCATGTCTCCAGCCCTGGTTGCATTTTCTTGTGTATTTTTTGTTACATAAATTCAAGTCCCAGTGTTGTTTGTAGTGTTCAGTGGAGGACTAAGTCATAGTGTTGAGGTGTCATTAAGCTACTGGTGCTTAAGGCTGAAGACTAGTTCAGGCTTTCCTCCCGTGTCAGCTTGGGCCTTCTGCCTGGGAATGCAGCTTCACTGTGAAGAAGTCTCACACCCCACCCTGGGTCTGCAGCCTCTGCCAGAGCCACTGAAAGACATGGAACTTCCCCTGGGCTTGTGGACCTAAACCAGAGTCAACCTCCACTCCATCTGGTCCCACTGCTTCCACCGAAGCAACTGCAGGATGTGGGCGCCCTGAACCCAGCCAGGTTCAGGACTGATCTTCACCACCACCTTCTGCTGAAGCTGCTGGAAGTGTCTTTTTTTTTTTTTTCAAGATGGACTATATGCTGGCTAGGGACTCAAGGCGGCAATCCTGTCGTTAGCCCCTAAGTGTTATGGTTTCAGGTATGCACCACCAAGCCCAGCTCTACTGCACTGAGTTTTATTTACTCCAGTGTATTTAGCCTGTATGTGCTGAATGCTACTCACTCATTGGCAAGATGGCGGGCCTTGGCCTGTGTGCCTGGTCTGTTGACTGCAGCTTCTCTGAGGGTTCCTGTGCATCCAGGTGGATGTTTCTGAGGAAGGCCAGCTGCAGGGGGGCTTCTGGTCACATTGCACTTTTATACTCCTTTCCTCTTCAACTGAGTGCCACTTTATGTTGCCACCAGCATCTGAACGGGTCACTGCTGAGCATAGGCAGAGGTAGCACTCCACTAGGCCTGGGCTGTTGGGGAGTCACCTCAGACCTCCTGTGAAGCTTTCTGAGGACTGTGGTGGAGTGCTGGATCTCATATAATCTCATATGGTGCTCTCCAAAAGGGAGGGTCTCAACAAGAAGTGCAAATGTCCCTTCCTCTTCTGGGCCAGTACTGGGCTTGAATCTGGGGCCTCGCACACATAGGCAAATGTTGGGCCACTGAGCTCTAGTGCTAGGCTCTGTTTGTTCTTTATTTAGAAGCTGGAGAAATGGATCAGTGGTTACCAGCGGACTTGAGTTTGGTTCCCAGCACCTGTGTCAGGTGGCTCATAATTGCCTGTAACTCTAGCTCCAGGCGCTCTCATGCTCTCTCTGGACTATAGCCACTGGCACTCCTATACTCATACCCCCATAAACACACAATTTAAAAATAAATCTGTAGAGGTGCATATGGTGGTGCCTCCTTTTATCCCAGTACTCAAAAAAGGCAGGTTTTTGAGGACAGCTGAAACTACATGGAGAGGCCCTGTCTATAAAACGAAACAACAGCAATCAAACTTCAATAAGTATTTGTTTAGTACGTATTTTGTATGTGTGGGGCAGATGCATAGATTCTCTCCTTGGGTCCTGGGGGTTCAAACTCAGGTCATCAGTCTTGGCAGTTAATGCCATCTTGAGCCATCTGGCTAGTCCATGCTTATATTCGTTGTCATTCCTGAGACAGCTCTGGCCCACAGAAGGGGCTCAGATGCCTTCTAAAGGGGCTGTCTTCTGTCTCCCAACTTTGGCACCTGCCACAGCTAGTTTCCATGCACTGTATTCTCAGCTCTGGACAGCAGAGGGCACTCAGACCTAAGTCAGTGAGAGCTGGGCCGTCAGAAATCAGCCCAACAGACATGCCTTCCCCAAATTGGTTTTGTTGCAGCTCCTGGTAGAGTGCCTGGCAAAAAGCGAGTGCTTCATAACTGCTTAGAGCAAGTGAACACATCCAGAATCTATGGGTGGGTCCATCTCTACAGCGCTTTTGAAATTTCTTTCTTTTTTTTTTTTTTTTTTTTTTTTGCCTCCCTTCCCCCATGAGTCAATAGTGAAAGCAGCCAAATGCTAATACCTAAGGCTCTCCCTCAGCTGCCTGCTGAGCTAGAGCCACTGTGGGCAGCACCTGGCTTTGGGATGGATGTTGTGGATTCCATTCCTTTCCTAAAATGCTTTTGCCAGGTTGATCTAGGCAAGAACGAGGTGAGACCTGGAGATGAGTATGGAAAGCAGCCATTTTCATCCTTGAGAGTGCAGATGCCTTTAAGAAGCTGATGGTTGCTGGGCGGTGGTGGCATACACCTTTAGTCCCAGTACTCACAGGCAGGTGGATCTCTGAGTTCAAGGCCACCCTGGTCTACAGCGAGTTCCAGGACAGCCAGGGCTACACAGACGAACCCTGTCTCAAACCAAAAACCAAAAACCAAACCAAACCCGCTGGGTGTGGTGGTGCACACCTTTAATCCCAGCACTTAGATCTCTGAATTTGAGCCTTAGCCTGGACTACAGAGTTTTAGGACAGCTGGGGCTACGTGGAGAAACCCTGGATCAAATCAGTCAGTCAATCAGTCAGTCAGTCAGTCAGTCAGTCAGTCAGTCAGTCAGTCAGTCAATCAGTCAATCCATCCATCCATCCATCCATCCAACCATCCATCTGTCACTGTTTGCTCTCCATAATGGAGCAGTCTAAACAGACTGAAAAACTGAGACATTGAGGTTTCCCAGCACTCAAGTTCCACAGTGTGGTCATTTAACCAAACAGTTCAGACCATGATTGTGACAAAACAGCTCTGAGTGTTGCTGACATCCATGGGGTCCATAGTCAGTACTGGTAGAAGCAGCTCACTAAGCGTTTTTCACCTAGGATGCCTGGCACCCCACACGTGGCTCCTGGTGGGACAGAGGGATGGTCACTGAGCCTTCTTAGGAACAGGACACAGGACTGTCAGGGCCATCTAGGGTTTGCACTGTGTCACGGTGCAGATGCCAGTTTGGCAGCCAGTGACAGCAGCTCAGAGGTGGTCAGTCGGAGTGCTGTGGGCTGTCAAGCCCCCTCCCCCATGACCTAAGTAAGTCACTGCACTCTAGAATGGCCTGGGCCTAGGAGTCCCCTGGGAAACTCTGGACACATAGGTGTGACCTCTACATTCGTGAGGGGCTCAACAGGGCCCAAGGGGGCAAACTGGCACTAACAAGCCAGTTGGTTTTCCTGGAAATTAGACAAGCTTGGGGATTACCTACCTAACGGGAGCCCCAGCCTGAAAATAGGCAGGTATGGAAGGGATACCAAGGCTGCCACCATCTGAGCTCTCCCAGGACCCAGCTGCTGGTGCAAAATCCCGTGATGGTTATATTATTAACGGTG